CTCCTTGTAATCTTTTATTTCAAAACCATGCTGGTTAAAACTATGCTAGATTGAAGAAAGCAACTGTTTGAAAAACTGTTCTGAAAACACTTATTTTTCCTCCCTGATGGTGCAGAGAATTATATGGACAAATACACTGTGAGTGTTTTACCAGACTCTTAATGTTCGGTCAACCATCTTGGCAAGCCAAGCACTAGGTGTACCTAGAGACAATATTTCTTTTAAGGACACCATGAAGTTCCTGCCGTAGAGATAGGTAACAGCCCTACCAAGGGGAAGACAGATTTTGTGCAGAGAAAATGTCAAAGAACCAAAAATAAATCTACTTAAAATGGTGGACTTTATGTAGTTAGTCCTATCTTTCTGTTTTAGACTTTAGTCTCAGATATTGTATATTATTGTTTTGTGTTTGATATTTACTTCTAAGTATCTCAAAAATCACAACTCACTCTCCCCCTTTAGGGAGGATCCTGGGGTCAAGAATTTTTACATTGAGTTTTATAAATATAACTTCATTGATTGGATGGCATTTTGTAATACATAAATATTTGTAATTTTTAACTCTTCATGACTCAGTAGCATGTAAGAGCACCTCTATTTTGTTCAGTTCACCCCAAATTTTAATATCATTTCTATGTGACAGGCATTGTATTAGGGGCTGGGAAAACATAGATAAATAAGACATGTGGATAATACATTATGAGCTGCTCATGGGGATGTAATGTTTGAAATTAAACTGGGCTGTTAGCGTGCAAGAGGGTGTACGTGACACCCTGAGGATCTCTCCTCGTGAGACTTACATGGAGGGAACAAGAGAGATTCTCTGTATCTTATACTGATCTGTGCACATTCTCCTTATGTGTGTGATCAGACATGAATCCCTGTTGTCTCTGTAGAGCTCAAGGCTGGTTCTCTTAGAGCTCAAGCTGGGACACATGAAAGGGTCTAACCAGGAGTGAACCATGCGAGTGTGTGTAGCCAAATCCCCTCCACCCTCCATCTCCTTAGTTCTTCATAGCAAAGAGCAGTTGTGCATTACATGCCTTGAACCAGCATCTCTCTCAATGCCAAACATAAATGTTAATAGCGTCACTCAAATTCCACCAGGCTTTTTCCTTTTTTATATATTATGACTTAACATATAGATTTGTAGGAGGTTTTGACTCATTGATGTTACAGAGCTTTCTATTTGGAGCTACCCCCAGACATGAAGAAATGGAGAGGAAATCATTCATGTACTTTTTTCTGGGATCAATAATCTCAGAGCCTGACTGATTAGTGTCCTCAAATGCTGTCACAGTTGATTGCAGAACCTTGAAAATGAAGGTGTAGGTGGTGCAGGAAAGATTACCATTCTCACTGTGAACTCTGATTATTTTCTTTCAGGTTACAGAAGGAAGAGCCCAAAGGAAAATGTAGGTCAAGCGTTTTTATCCCCTGCAACTTTCAGAAGAGCAATCACAAAATCACAGCGACTGGGCCTGATTTCTAATGGTGGAAAAAGGAGAGCAATAGGTGAAAAAGCAACGGGCACGTGTTTTTAACTCCTATTTTTAAACACAGGGCAGCATAAACCAGATTTTTTAAAATTAGGGATATATTTGTTTGGTTTAACCTAATTTGACTTTGGCTATTAGACTCAGCTTTCGTGTGACTACTTCTGGTTATTCTCATATTAACATGGCAAAGTGAGAAAAGGGAAAATGGAAACGTTTTTAAGACACCGTATTTAATATGCTCTAATTCTCTAATTAACACATAACCCTTCACAAAACAATTATTTCCAAAACATGTGGATGTTTAAGAGGATAGAGATGCTTTGTTTACTAGTGTAATTATTATAAAATCAGATGCACTTAATTTCTTGTTTATAGATATTATATTCATTTAAAAATAATTTATAAGCATGTGGAGTACTTTCTGTGATCTCAAAATCAGATATACTTATTTAAATGAACTTTTCTCATATTTCAAGAATAACGTTGTTTTAATTGGGACAACATCCATTTAATGAATATAGTAATTAAGTGTATAATGAAACTTCCTATTGTATTAGAATTGGCTATGATGAATCTACCGTGCTAATATATCACGTTAGGAAAGTGAGTATGACTAGAAAGCTGATGCAAAAATCTCTGTGCCTCAGTAAATTTTTTAGCACTGCCTTCAATTTTGAGCCTGGTCTGAATATTTTATTTGAATTTTTAGGATGCGAGGTGTCGACAAAAATACTCTAGTTTGAGGAAGTGCTAGATCATATTCTAAGATTGTATTAACTGTAGTGTAAAGTTTTGAAGGCAATCTGATGGGAAGCAAAGTGTTTGTTGGAAGTTGAGGGCACAGGTTGCTGGTCGAGATGGAAAATCAAGAGAGGGGACAGGGGAGCCTGAAGTGGGAACACTGGTCACATTAGATTTACTTTTATCTATTTATTATTTTGCTTCTAATTGGGCCAAAAAACCCATTGGAAAATTGGAATGCAATGGAGGGGAGAAGAGGCAGTACAGAATCAATGGAGTACTCTTGGGAAAGTCACTCTCTCTCTCTGAGGGTCCCAGTTCACTCACTAGAAAATGAAGTGTTGGACTTGTTTGGTGATTTTCAACTATAAGCTTCCTGCATAGAGCATATCATAAGCAGTTATGAAATGTATCACAAGAAATTTTTTCCCTAAGTAATGGGATAACATTTTGAAATATTACAGTATTTTTTCCTTATTGATATTTTTCTTCTGCCATGATGACTAGGTCTTGAGGCTGAGACTTGTTGGCTCAGCTATGGGAAGAACAAGTGCTGCCAAGACAGGATAAAGGATAAGACTTACGGACAATTTCTACCAGAAAAGAATAGGAAACAGAATGCTCTTTTCATGCTAGGGGAAGAAATTGGAGGAGAAGGAATGAGAGAGAGAGCCAAGAGGTTAGATACAGAATCTGAGCTAATTGATCCCTCACCTTTCCTTGAGGTTAAATTGTGAGAAAAGACAGGTAGAAACAGCCTGATAAGTTTAGGGGTGATAACTTGTCTCTCAGGTATAGCCTCATGATAATGTAATGAGGCTTAGCACTCACTTTTCCCTCTTTCTACATCTTCATAATTTGAATTTTTTCCAGGAGAAAAAAAGGTAAGAAAAAGGGAGATAGAAAATCCAGAGTTAATTGAGGTTAAAATAAATTGCTGTAGATCACTGTTTTTACATCAGTGTCTTTTAAACTACTGGCCATGACATGTTGGTGCATCTTGAAATCAATTTGAGAGTTAAAAATAGCATAAAATAGAAAAGTACAAGTGTATCCCACATAGCGTTGTTTGGTGAAATTTAAGGTTCAGTTTTATATCAATAGTAAATCTCTGTGACTGTATCTATATAACACAGACATACATATTCATACTTCTGTTGTACTAGATCACAATGAGAAAAAAACGTATTTCTTACTTTGGGTAGATTGAAGAGAAAACATGTTTACACACAAGTGTGAAGTGTTTTAAACTGGAAGAGATTAAGTTATCTTGAATGGAAATTGCAGTTTTCTTTTTCACTACCAAATGAGAATGGGAGCTCCAGAATAAAGATGAGACCAGTCATTGAAAATAAATTAATTTTTCTCACATCTGGGTTGTCGTGTGCAAGACTCCTCCTAAGGCTGCTTCTCCCTGGGTGTTGAGGGTAAAGTCTTGACCTGAAAACTCTTTTGATGGGTTTTCTGGTGCTTGAGGCTCTTCACCCCGGGGTGCATCCATTTCCACCATCCTTGAACTCACAGGGCTTGACAAAAATGGGAGTCTGGCCTAAAGCCAGATCATCTTTGCCTGACAAGTAGTAAATATCCCCAGGGGAACATGTATGCTTAGGCTATTCTTGGCACATTACTTTCCCAACTAAATGTTGGAGTAAATATATCAAGTTCTTTGAAAAAATCTCAGATTTTTATTGAAGTTACATTGAATCTGCTGATCCATTTGTCTTCCTATTAATGAATATAACATCTCTCTCCATTTTTGTAGGATATTCTTTGAGGTTTCTTAATAAAGTTGTATATTTTTCACAGTAAAAGGCTTGCTTGGCTTTACTAAAATTATCTCTAAGGTATTAGATATTTTATAATACTATTGTAAAAAAAATCTTTAATTACACATCCCACTCATTTGTTGAAGGTGTATGGAATGCACTTAGCTTTTGTGTACTAACCTTTATTCATCTGTTTTGACAAAACTTTTCTGTTTTCTAATAATTGTAGATTATTCTGAGTTTTTGGTATAAGTGGTAACATCGTCTGTAAAGAAAGAGTTTTATTCCCTCCTCGTTAATCCCCATATCTCTAATTGTTCATCTTCTTACACAGGCTATAATATAAAGGTAAATGTGAATAAAAGGATGATAGTGGACAATCTTTTCTTTTTTTTTAAAAAAAAGACTCATAAAACTTTTATTCTGCTTGCATCAACTTAATACACATTTTTAACAATTATGCTCCAGATGGTACTGAAAATTTCATCAGGAATTAAACAAACCTATCCATCATCTTGAGTTATTTCTGCTATTTTCAGAGTCATGTATGTAGAGCATGAAAATGAAAAAAAAAAAATCTAAGAAAATTTAAACATATGTTTTGTTTGTGTTACTGCTATGACTGACACATGAGAAGTAATGGGTATCAGGATGTTCACTTTTACTGCATTTTCACTTATGGGTTTGTTCTCAGGTTGCCTAAACATTTGGATACAAATAAGCGTAACAAAAATAATGATAGTAAACAACAGCAACTTTACAAATTATGGAATATGAACCATTTCTGCCCTTATCCAGAGCAAACTTTCTCTCAAGGAACACTTCTGTACCTGTAGTCAAAAATGTGCACACTGAAATTGTGCATTCCACTGATAAACTTGGTTCGACATGTAATACCATTGGATGCTGCTGCAGCCTTCAGCTCCAAGCCTTAAAGGACCCACAGTAACTACACCTCTGAGTAGACCCAATTACTCCTTTTGTTCCCCAGCAGGCAGTTTTCTTTGCTTAGACGTGAAAGCTGTTTTAACACTGGCCCTTGTGAAGCCACACTGTACCAAAAGGGGTATGCCAAACATTTATAACTTGTGTAAAAATTCCACATCCCCCGATTGAGCACAAAAGGAAAACAGATAACTCTCTAATTGTTAACTGGCTCTATTCCCCTAATACTAAACGTAAAAACCACACAAGAAAGATAGAAATTCAAATTGAAGTAACATAAAACTGTCACAAATCATAAACAAAAAACGGTGAGACAGCTTGGATGACAAATGGTCTACTGTGCAGATTTTTAAATGAGGCAGACAAAAGTTGAGAGGTTGATTAGCTTTCACCTCTTTCTCCTGATTCAGTTTTATCTCCTTGGGTATCCCTTGCCCGTAATGTCAAGTTGCCTCTCAGTCATTGCATTACTAGGGTGCTGTCTTTTTATGACCCTTCACTGAATGTATCAATTTCAGCAATGGCTTCCTCAAAAGATGTCTTTGAGAAAGATCAGGCTTTCTCAGAGGAGTTCAGATCTCATAATAGAACACAGGGAAGTTAAGGACCAGACCCAATATGATAGGATGAGTCCATTGCATTTCCTTTTTGCCGACTTCAAAAGCTTCTTTGTATGCTTTTTGTGACTGATCCACAATCCCTTTCTTATCACCAGCAGCAACCCCAGCCATGTAAGAGTATTAGTCTTTTTTCAGTTTCAGATGGAAGATTTTGCTCTCTGCTTGTGAAGCTTTGGGATTGATAACTTTTCCAAAAGAGATAATACATCTTTGCAGGTGTACTCTAAGCTTGGTCTCAGTTTTCTCTCTGTTGTCATTGTGAGTCATCTGTTGCTTTTTCTCAACGTCTTCTCTCTTTAGCTCAGTACTTGAGATGACTCTCCAAAAGGACTTACAACTTACAACATTTTTTATAAGTAACTGAGAGAAGATTGCTTTCTTCATTGGATAATTCAGCTCCTTGCTCAGTTACAGGCTTCATGCAGGCTGCCATGTCATCATATTGCTTAGCCTGCTCAGTCAGTTTGGCTTCTGTTCCAGCTTATTTTTATCCATGATGGATGTTTTATGTCTGGATTGGTTGCTGGAGGATGCACAGAGGCTCAGTGGTCTCTGCCTTTTTGTTTTCAAAGATACTTTTATCAGATTAATGATGTTCTCGTCTATTCCTGAATTACCGAGAGTTTTCTTTTGAATCATGAATTTAGGTTGCATTTTATCACATGCTTTCCTCACACCTATTTGAAATAACCATATTGTTTTTCTCTTTTAATATCTTAATTTGGCAAATTACATTTATGGATTTTCTAATCATAAGCCTGAAGAAGAGCAGTTTTATACATTTTCTTTTTATATAATTTCTTTTCATTGTTATATGTATCCATAAAAAGTATGTTTTTCAGTTGTTTTTAACTTTATTGAAAAGTATGCCATGTTATATGTAATAATTAAGGACTTTTTTCACTAATGATATATTGTTAATGTTCCTACATATTATTGCATACAGCTATAATTCATTTCATTTTGACTGTTGTTTCATATTTCACTGTGTAAATAAATAATTTATTGTATGTTTATTCATATCAGTTACTGGGACTTTTTATAAGCTATTAAAATACAGACAATACATAGTTGGCATAGGGATAGAAAACTGGCCAATGGAATAGAGCAGAGAACCGAGACCAGACTCGTGCATTCATAGAACTTCAGGTGCATCAGAGATGGCCTCTCTCATCAGTAAGGAAAGGTAGGGGGATGCAGTAAATGAAACTGGAAAACTGGCTATACACAAAAATAAAATCATCTCTAGCTAGATTAAGGATCTGAATATTAAAAACAAAACAGTGAACATCTTAGTGAACACATTGGTGAACATATTTTAGGCACAAAAATTATTGACAATATTTGAAAATATTAAAATTAAGAAATTTGGTTCATCGAAAAATAAACCTAAGTGAAAACATAAGTTATAAATGGGAAAAAGTTATCAGCAATAAACACAACCAAAAAAGAAATTTTATCAAGACAGCTAAAGAACTCCTACAAATTAGTAGATAAAGCACCAACAACTCAAAGAAAACAGCGAGGCAAAGGACATGAAAAAGCATTTCACAGCAGAGGAAATGCATATGGCTAGTAAATACATCAGAAGACTTTTACGTTGGCCATTGTCAGGGCTATGAAAATCAAGACCACTGCAAGGTACCATTGTACTCTCATTATATTGGCAAAAATTTAAAAAGCTTGACTGTACCCAGTGTTGAAAGTGATATACACCTTATATATCTTATGCATTGCTGGTGGGAGTGCAAAATGCTAAAACCACCGTGGCATTATCTTGTAAGTTTAGACATTGGCATAGCCTATGAACCAGTAATTCTAATCCTATATATAAAATCAAGAGAAATAAATGTATATATTGTATATCTCAGAAGACATGTACAAAAATGTTCATAGCAACACTGTTCACAATAGCAAAACCCTAGAAAAAACTCACTGCTCATTGACAGGAGAGTACATGAATTAATTGTGTGCTTATATGATCGAATATGGAATAGCAATCAAATCAAATAAATTATAGCAACCCTGTATATGATCATTAACAGCATATTATTTAGTAAAAAAAATCCTCAATTATTACATATAGCACAATATCCTTCTTACTAAAGTTAAAACAACTAAAATTATATACTCTTTATGGAAACATATAATAGTTAAAAATACATGTGTAAAATGGAAAGCAAGAGAATGATGAACACGAGAATACAGGTGATAGTTTCTTTGGGTTGAAGAGATGAAACAAACAGGAGAATAACAGAGGGGAAGAACATAGGGCCACAAATGAGTTACAATGAAGAATCTGGTCTTTGGGGTTTTCTATATAAAAGATTATGTCATCTGCAGAGACAATTTAAATTATTCCTTTCTGAATAGGATACATTTTATTTCTTTTTATTGCTTAATTGCTCTGGCTAGATACTCCAACCAAAAACTATTAGAACTAATAAATGACTGCAGCAATGTTGTAGGATACAAAATTAATATAATAAAATCAGTTACATTTCCCTACACTAACAATGAATTACCCAAAAAAGAAATTAAAAAAAAAAATCCCAATGACAATAGCATCAGAAAGAATAAAATCATTATGAATAAATTTAACAAAGGAAATAAAAGATTTGGATGCTGAAAATTGTAAAACATTGATAAAAGAATTTGAAGACAACAAAAAGAAGTGGAAAGATGTCCCATGTTCACGGATTGGAAGAACTAATATTGTTAAAATGTCTATACTACTCAAAGCAATGTACAGATTCAGTGCAATTCCTATCAAAATTCTAATGGCATTTCTCACAGAAATAGAAAAAAAAAACAATTCTACAATTCATATGGAACCACAAAAGACCCAGAATAGCTGAAGATCTCTTGAGAAAGAAGGACCAATTTGGAGGCATCACACTTCCTGATTTCAAACTATATTACAAAGCTACAGTAATCATAACAGTATGGCACTGGCATAAAAGCAGACAAGTAGACCAATGGAACAGAATAGAGAGCCCAGAAATAAACGCACACATATATCATCAACTAATCTTTGACAAGAATGTCAAGAATACGCAATGGGGAAAGGATAGTCTCTTCAATAAATGGTACTGGGAAAACTGGATACCCGTATGAAAAAGAATAAAATTGGATCCTTATCTTACACCCTACATAAAAATTAACTTGAAACGAATTAAAAACATAAATGTAAGGCCTAAAACTGTAGAACTCGTTAAAGAAAACATCGGGGAAAATCTCCCTGACGTTGGTTTGGGCAATGACTTTTAGGATCTGACTCCAAAAGCAAAGCTTACATCAAACTAAAAATCTTCTGTGTAGCAAAGAAAATGATCAAAAAAATGAAAAGGCAACCTATGGAATGGGAGAAAATATTTGCAAATTATACATCTGATCTGGGGTTAAGATCCAAAATATATAAGGAACTTACACAACTCAGTAGTAAAAAAGACACAAATACCTCAATTAAAAAGAGGACAAAAGAATTTTTACAGAGATTTATCCAAAGAAGACATACAAATGATATGGAGTTAATATCCAAAATACATAAGGAATTTATACAACTCAATAGCAAAAAAACACAAATAACTAATTAAAAAGTAGACAAAGGAACCTTTACAGACATTTCTCCAAAGGAGACATACAAATGGCCACAGGTATATGAAAAGGTGCTCAACATCACTAATCATCAAGGAAATGCAAATCAAATCCACAATGAGCTATCCCCTCACACCTGTTAGGATGGTTGTTATCAAAAAGACAAGATATAAGAGTTGGTGAGGGTGTGGAAAAAAGTGGACCTTTGTGCACTTTCAGTGGGAATACATTCCCACCAATTTACAATTGGTACAGCCATTAGGGAAAGCAATATGGAGGTCCCTCAAAAACAAAAAATAGAACTACCATATGATCCAGCAATCCTACTTCTAGATGTATATACAAGGAAATAAAATCAGTATCTTGAAGAGATATCTGTATCCCCATGTTCATTGCAGCATTATTCACAATAGCCAAGACATGGAAACAACCTAAGTGCCCATCAATGGATTAATGGATAAAGAAGATGTGGTATATATATATATATATATATATATATATATATATATATATATATATATATATACACAATGGAATATTATTCAGTCTAAAGAGAAGAATGGCATAAAACCTGCCATTTGCAACAACATGGATGAACCAGGGGGACATTATGCTAAGTGAAATAAGAAATTGAAAGACAAATACTGTATGGTCTCATTTATGTGTGGAGTCTAAAAAAGTCAAACTCATAGAACCAGAGAGTAGAGTGAGTGGTGGTTGCCAGAGGCTGGAGGTTGGGGGAAATGGGGAGATGTTGGTTAAAGGGTAAAAACTTTCAGTTATAACATAAAAGTTCTGGAGAGCTCAAGTACAGCATCGTGACTATAGTTAATTATACTGTATTGTGGATTTGAAATTTGCTAAAGGAGTAGACAGTAAGTGTTCTCACTACACACAAAAAA